CTCTATTGCCTGATGGGCCAGTCGCCGTGCTTCAATGACCTCATCCCTAATTCCCCTTACAGCGGTGTAGCAAGCAAGCAATGACCAGAAGCAAAGGTTTGCCGTTAGCTCATTGCCCCCACCAAGTGAATTCCCGACTAGTAGAATTCCTCTGCCCTTCCTCTGTCCTACAATTCCTCTCCTACAACTTGAAATTCTGAAAGGGTTGAGGGGCGAAGTCAGGTGAAAAGGAACACAGGAGGTGATTTTACTTTCACAGGCCAATTTCACTCGCAGCTCCCATAGCCCTGGGCCTCGGGGTCCCTCCACACACGTCTCTGAGGAGTGAGATGACTGAAGGACGTATGTTCACACAGTATTTCTGGAAAAACTCTTAATTTGACTTGGCTTTAGACTTGGAGCCTGGCTCTACCATGGAATTAAAAGATGATACTGGATTTCAAGTTAGATACAAAGCACTTGGAAGCAGCCTTTACACCTGGGTCTGAGGGAAACAGAACGCACTGCTATTGGAGTCCATGCTTCAGCTGAGGTGGGCGGGTGACAAGGGTGGGCTTGCTGCCAGGGGTGATGGTCCTGGTCAGTGGGGGCACTGCCTTTCACAGAAAGGGGCAAAAAACGAGTTCATCATTTTTACTTCCAGCAAAAGAATGAGAATATGTGAGCAGAGTGCTTGGGACAGGCACCCTTGCCCTTCAGACTTTTTGTGGATTCAAGTCGTCTCTGATTGATGGATAATACACTTACCGGGTACCAGATTGCAAAGAGGAGCAGCACCTGGATGCAGGAGGCAGAGACAACGTCCCTCTCCTCATTGTGAAGTAACCCACATGGGAGTGTTGTCTTAGAACGCCTGTGGCAGAGTGATGATGCCAGGCGAGCATCCCAGTGGGACCTCAGGCTGCAGGAAGAATGAAAAGCTCGCCAAGACCAGGGTTCTGAGTGTAAGATACTAGGCTATAAGGACACTTCCAGCTTCTGTACTGCTTGTCTGCTAACCGCAAGGCATTATGATACATTATGGGATGCAGAGGAGAAAGACAAAGAACGCGGAAACCGGGGTCTCGCAGCTAGGACCCAGCAGGTTAGGGCCTATCAGGGGCAGGATGAAGTAAGAATCACTGTGGGGCGGATGCATGACCAGTGTGTAAACAACTGAGTTATAAAAGAGTCCTTAACACACAAAGGAGGGTCCCTGCCCGAAGAGAGAGCCACTGCGCTGGCACTCTGGGGCTGGGACCCTAGCTGAGCTAGACAATAAAATTCCTTTTGATAATTACAGCCTCGGTGACTCTGTCTCTGTCCTGCGGCCTTGTGAATCTCGAATGTGACAGGAGTAGGATCAGCTGGGGAGGGGCAGCGCAGTAGGAGCCAGACGCTAGGACGGCTGGATCCTGGGTTCCACACATGCTCCCACAATATAGGTGGCTTGATTTCTTTCCCACTTGCCCATAGCTGTGGCATTTATAGTTGCCACGGCAGGGGAGGCCATAACTTCTGGGTCTCCCTCTCCTGGGAGGGGCAGACAGGGGCAGACGACAGGGGATCAAACCTGTCTGAGGAGAGGAGACCCACCCTCCGGGCCAGAGGTCAACAGAACCTGTTTCCTCTGGGATGTTTTATTCTGGCTTGTAGAAGCCAGAGGGGAGAAAATGAAGGTGACTGGTCCCAGATCTCGGATGTCTTCTTACTGTGCCAGCACGCGCGAGGGGCGCTGTGAGGGAGGACCGGGAGGCTGCCGCGGACACCCTGGCCTGGGACGCTGACTGTGAGGCCAGAAGACTCTGGAAGTTAAGGGCTGAATAGGGGAGAGCTGGACTCGGAGGAGAGCGGACACGCTCTCACACAGCTCGCAGTCTGTCCTTGGGGCGGCGGCCTCGGACCCGGAACCGGGCTCCACTGAGGAGCAGAGTCCAGTCGAGCTTGAGAAGCAAAAACTCCCGTCGGGCCCTGTGCGTTTGAGCAAGGCACTTCTCTGAGCCTCGGCCCCCTCATGCGTAACGCGGCCTCTCCAGAAAGAACTCGCGGACGCGGAGCACTGACGCGCCATACTGCGCACCTGCGCAACCGCTGTCGCATGACGCGTGTGCATGACGCGCTGTGCATGACGCTCTGTCGATTGACGCGCTGTGATCGCCGGTGCTGCCTGCGCGCGCGGGCGGCGCGGACTCCGGGAAGACCCTGATCCCTGCTCCCCCCTCCCCACCGGGACGGCACCCCGTCTCGGGGCTTCCGGCGGCACTTGGACTTGCACGTGAGGAGGGAGCCCAGGCCCTGTAGGGAGCGCCCTAGATTTCAAAGTGGTGATTGGCGGGCAGAGCAGCGGGAGGGAGCGACTGCCCCGCGCAGAGCCGGCCGGACCCGACCCTTTCGCCCTGTGCTTTGCTGCCTTGGCAGGGGAGGGGTCAGTCGGGTAGAGTGTTTAAGACTCTTAGGGCACAAGTGTTATTTATTTTTTTTTTTTTTTTTTTTTTTTGAGACAGAGTCTCACTTTGTTGCCCAGGCTAGAGTGAGTGCCCTGGCGTCAGCCTAGCTCACAGCAACCTCAAACTCCTGGGCTCAAGCGATCCTCCTGCCTCAGCCTCCCGAGTAGCTGGGACTACAGGCATGTGCCACATGCCCGGCTCATTTTTTCTATATATATAGTTGGCCAATTAATTTCTTTCTATTTATAGTAGAGACGGGGTCTGGCTCTTGCTCAGGCTGGTTTTGAACTCCTGACCTCGAGCTATCCGCCCACCTCGGCCTCCCAGAGTGCTAGGATTACAGGCGTGAGCCACCGCGCCCGGCCTAATTTTGTTTTTTAATTAGGGTCCAGGCTGGGGAAATTCAACAGTTAGAGGCTGGGGTTAGGCGTCTCTGCATTTCTCCCAGGGCAGAGAGACTCTCCTATGCTGGCAGCTGCCACACGCTGAGTCACTGTCTGCCCAGACAACTACAAATCAGGCATCTTTCTCCTTTTCTCAACCCTCTTCTAGAACCCAGGTGTCCCTCTGGGCCTCAGGCCTTCTTCAAGGAGCTGAGTCCCTCTGGCACCTGGCATGCCTCCTTTCTGGGGCCCAAGCTGCAATCCTTCCCTTAGCAAACAGGGTCTCCGGTGGAAGGTTCAGAGAGACCTTCAGGCCCGTAAGGGCCAGACAGTTCAGTGACGTCGGTGTCAGGTTTGGACTACTGACCAGGATAGGCTCTCGCAAGAAGGACGCCCAAAGCAGCAAATGGTGACCCTCGGCGGCCCCGCTGTCTGATTCTGGATGCAGTTAAGGGTAAAAGGCCAGTAGCCAGCCGGGGTGCCTTTCCAGTCAGCCAGTATTCGTCCTCCTCCAGTAGAGTCTGAGCCAGGCCAGTGGGATGAGAGGGTTGGGACTGACACTGGGCATCAGGAATGTTTTGAGAATGCAGGGGCCCGGCCTGCTAACAACTCTTGTTGAATTATTTAATTTTAATTTTCCTGTATTTGTGTCCCAAGTTAGGACTAAAAGCTTATACTTCTTTCTATCATCAATAGAGTATATAATGGGTGCTTAAAACTTGCTTATTAACCGATGAATTTTCTCCTCATTTTGTCATCATGCAAATAAACCTAGCATGAACTGAGGCTGGCTCTTATCTAAACCCAGAAATGAGCCATTTCAGGAGCAATGCAAGCTCCGCCTCCCCTTCCTCGACCCTGCTGAGACCTGCAGTCCTGTGCTTTGGCCCCTCCTGCTCAGGAGCTTCTGTAAGGTCACGGTCAGAGCCAGAAACACCAGCCAGGACTTTCTCCCAACAGTAGTTCAATAACTATGATGTCCTTGTTTTATAAATATCTTATACTTTATTATAAAAGACCAATATTTTCATTTTTAGAAAGGAAATTATCTGTCATCCGTCCACTCTCCTTGTCCCCTCGGCTCAATCAGTAATAGGTGAAAAGGCTACAAGAAGTGGAAGAGAAAACCTAGAAGGCATACACAGATGAAATGCCCACAAGGAAGAAATTCGGAATCTGGGCTAAATGCTTAAGAAGAGGATGGGGGCAGGAGAGAAGAGAGGTGCCTCCTACAAGATAAAACCTGCCTGGCTTTTGATGGAAGAGACAGGAGAATAAATGCTGAGTGGGGACTGCATCTGGGAAGGGCTAGGGTGGGGATCAGTGGATGGGATCACAGGCCAAACAAAAACCCCCTCCTGGTGTGCCCACCCACACCCCAGCCAGCGAAACCAATAGGGTGCCCACTGTGAACATTTAGAAAAACTGAGGGATTCAGGGAGAAAAACTGAGGAAGAGGAAGGCACCATGTGGATGAGAGATATTTATGATCTTTTCTGAAGTTTTCCTTTCTCCAGGGAATGGAGAGAGTAGAGACGGAAATAAATTCTCTTTTCTTCCTAGATCCTATTTTTTCATTAAAAGAAAAAGAAGGCTGGTCATGGTGGCTCACGCCTGTAATCCTAGCACTCTGAGAGGCTGAGGCAGGAGGATTGCTTGAGCTCAGGAGTTCGAGACCAGCCTGAGCAAAAGGGAGACCCCGTCTCTACTAAAAATAGAGAAAAATTAGCTGGGCAACTAAAAACAGAAAAAATTAGTCAGGCATGGTGATGCAGGCCTGTAGTCCCAGCTATTTGGTAGGCTGAGGCAGGAGGATCGCTTAAGCCCAGGAGTTGGGGTTGCTGTGAGCTGGGCTGACGCCACGGCACTGTAGCTCAGGCAACAGAGTGAGACTGTGCCCCCCCTAAAAGAAAAAAAGAAGGGCAAGGATTCTGGGAAGTTAGACTCCAGCCTGTTTACCCATAAACTCTTAAGTAATAGTGAGATGAAATAATATAGACTGGTCCTGAAACCCAGAGGCTCTGTCCTCAGGCTCCCCACTGCCCATAAGGCCCACTCACAGTCAGTCCGAGGCCCTGCCCTTCCAAGGCTCCTGTCCTTCCCTTGGCCATGCCCCTCCCCGGACTCAGTGTCCCGCGTTGGTCCCCACCCACATGTCCATCAAACAGCTTCTCATTCTCAGACCATCACCTTCAACAGAGAACACTGACTTGTATAATTTGCACATTCTTCTCTGTCCCCTAAACTTGGGTCCTCCTTGCTTGTCACCTCATTCCCCAACCAGTGGCAATTAAGAACAGAGGGAAGGGTAAGGCTGCTGTCAGTATTCTCTGCCTTCCCCGGAGTCCAGGAAATAGAACTTGTGTGTCTGGTTCCTCATTCAGGAAAAGGGCAGAGCACCTTCTCCGGGATCATCGTGGGGAAGGGATCTGGCCCCTGCCAAGGGTCTGCTGCTCCATCATGTAGACTGGGTAGGAATTGGGGCCGCCCTCATCCTCTGGATCATTGTCCCAGGTGTTCTGGGTCAGTGTACGGCGTGTTCGCATCACGTAAGAGACCTGTGATTGGGACGAGAGAGAAGGAATGAGAACCATCCGCCATGCCTCCTGCACCTCAGGCCCCTCACCCTGCCCTCCCCGCCCTTGGCCTTCGGGTGGCCCTTTCTCAGCATTCCATCCAAACCTTGGTCCTTATTCTAGCCCTAGATCCAACACACCGAGCCCCAAACTCCTCCAATTCCCCCATCTCCTCATCCTTATGTCCCCTATTCCCACACCCCAGAATCTATCTCCACCCCCTAAATTTTCTGTCTTTCGCACTCTTTTTTTCTCAACTACAGATCCAACTTTTTATATCTGTTCCAACTTTTTATATCCATTTCTAACTTTTTACATCCCATGTATTTATTTTCTTCCCCTTAGTTTTCATCACTATTCCCCTTTCTTTTCATCTCCCCCAGCCCCTGTCATATCTCTTTTCCTAGACATTATTCCCTCTAACTCTGACCCCTAAATTCTCTTCAACTCCCTATCCCATAGGAGTTGGGGAGGTATTTCCCTGGGGCACCCTTGTCTCTTACCAAGAAGACCAGGCCAAGGAACACCAGGAGGAGAATTACAGCCACCAGAATCACAATAACTATGGCCCATGCAGGGAATGGATCATTTTCGCCCATCTGTCCAGGATGGAGACCTCCTTGGGAGCCATCTTTATTCTGGTATTGATGACTCTTATGGCCTGGGGCTTCTGACAGGATGGAACTCAGCTCCATTCTAGATGCAGTGATTGTGACAGAACCAATGGGCACCTGATGGGTAACCCCAGTTTTATGTAGATAAGGAGAAGTAGCAGCAACAAATTTGTCTCCTGTAACCTTGACTGGAGGTCTTATACTCTTTATGACTGCAGTATATTCTGAGTTTTCCGTAGGTTTTGCTGGGACTGGTGTGGTTTTCCCCATGGTGGATGTGGTCTTCTTTGGGTGTACTGTAGGCATTTCTGAGGCTCTTCTGGCTTTCTCTGTGGTTAATGGGGTATTTTCTGGGTATTTTGTAGACTTTTCTGGTACTTGTGTCATCTTCTCATGGGCCAATGTGGTCTTTTCTTCCTGTTCTGTAGGCTTTGTTGAGGGTTTTATGGCCATCCCATTGGCTGATGTCAACTTTTCTGGATGTTGTGTAGGCTTTAGTGGGGATGATATGGCCTTCTCATTGGCTGATGTGGTCTTTTCTCCATGTTGTATAGGCCTTGCTGAGTATGGTGTGATCTTCTCATTGTCTGATGTAATCTCTTCCTCATGTTGTGTGGACTTTACTGGGGATGGTGTGGTCTTCTCATTGGCTGAGGTGGTCTTTTCCTCATGTTGTGTAGGTTTTACTGGAGATGGTGTGGTCTTCTCATTGGCCGATGTGGTCTTTTCTCCATGTTGTGTGAGCTTTACTGGGAATGGTGTAGTCTTCTCATGGGCTGAGGTAGTCTTTTCCTCATGTTGTGTGGGTTTTACTGGGGATGGTATGGTCTTCTCATTGGCTGATGTGGTCTTTTCTCCATGTTGTGTAGGCTTTGCTGAGTATGGTGTAGTCTTCTCATTGACTAATCTGGTCTTTTCTCCATGTTGTGTGGGCTTTGCTGAGTATGGTGTGGTCTTCTCGATTGGGGGGGGGAGAGGGAGGGCGATGGAAGCCGGCCGGACCCGATTTTGCCCCGTGCTTTGCTGCCTTGGCAGGGGGGGTCAGTCGGGTAGATTGTTTAAGACTCTTAGGGCAAAGTGTTTTATTAATTTTTTTTTTTTTTTTTTTGAGACAGAGTCTCACTTTGTTGCCCAGGCTAGAGTGGATGCCCTGGCGTCAGCCAGTGCCACAGCAACCTCAAACTCCTGGGCTCAAGCGATCCTCCTGCCTCAGCTCCCGAGTAGCTGGACTACAGGCATGTGCCACCATGCCGCTCATTTTTCTATATATATTAGTTGGCCAATTAATTTCTTTCTATTATAGTAGAGACGGGTCTGCTCTTGCTCAGCTGGTTTTGAACTCCTGACCTCGAGCTACTCCGCCCACCTCGGCCTCCCAGAGTGCTAGATTACAGGCGTGGAGCCACCGCGCCCGGCCTAATTTTTTTTAATTAGGGTCCAGGCTGGGGAAATTCAACAGTTAGAGGCTGGGGTTAGGCGTCTCTGCATTTCTCCCAGGGCAGAGAGACTCTCCTATGCTGGCAGCTGCCACACGCTGAGTCACTGTCTGCCCAGACAACTACAAATCAGGCATCTTTCTCCTTTTCTCAACCCTCTTCTAGAACCCAGGTGTCCCTCTGGGCCTCAGGCCTTCTTCAAGGAGCTGAGTCCCTCTGGCACCTGGCATGCCTCTTTCTGGGCCAAGCTGCAATCCTTCCCTTTACAAACAGGGTCTCCGGTGGAAGGTTAGAGAGACCTTCAGCCCGTAAGGCCAGACAGTTTCAGTGACGTCGGTGTCAGGTTTGGACTACTGACCAGATAGGCTCTCAGCAAATGACGCCCAAAGCAGCAAATGGTGACCCGGCGCTGTCTGATTCTGGATGCAGTTAAGGGTAAAAGGCCAGTAGCCAGCCGGGTGCCTTTCCAGTCAGCCAGTATGTCGTCTCTCCAGTAAGAGTCTGAGCAAGGCATGGGTGATGAGAGGGTTGGGACTGACACTTGGCACAGAATGGTTGGGAGCAGGCCTGTGTCCTGTTAAGCAGGGCTAACATAAATATAGGGTGTGGTAGATGCATAAAGTTGGGTTTAATTAAGGCATTCTTTGTTCTGTATAGCACTACCTGCTAACAACTCTTTTTTTTTTTTTGAGACAGAGTCTCACTTTGTTGCCCAGGCTAGAGTGAGTGCCGTGGCGTCAGCCTAGCTCACAGCAACTCAAACCCTGGGCTCAAGCGATCCTCCTGCCTCAGCCTCCCAGTAGCTGGACTACAGGCATGCGCCACCATGCCAGCTAATTTTTCTATATTTTTTTAGTTGGCCAAATTAATTCCTTTCTTTTTTAGTAGAGAGGGGTCTCACTCAGGCTGGATTCGAACTCCTGACCTTGAGCAATCCACCCGCCTTGCTCCCAGATTGCTTGGTTTACAGGCGTGAGCACCACCCCGCCTGCTAACAACTCTTTTGAATTATTTAATTTTAATTTTCCTGTATTTTGTGTCCCAAGTTAGGACTAAAGCTTATACTTCTTTCTATCATCAATGAGATATAATGGGTGCTAAAACTTGCTTATTAACCGATGAATTTCTCTCATTTTGTCATCATGCAAATAAACTAGCATGAACTGAGGCTGGCTCTTATCTAAACTCAGAAATGAGCATTTCAGGAGCAATGCAAGCTCGCGCCTCCCTTCCTTCGACTCTCTGCTGAGACCGCAGTCCCTGTGCTTTGGCCCTCCTGCTCAGGACTTCTGTAAGGTCACGGTCAGAGCAGATATCACCAGCTCAGGACTTTCTCCAATAGAGTTCAAGTAACTAATGATGTCCTTGTTTATAATATGCTTATACTTTATTATGAAAAGCACCAAATTTCATTTTTAGAAAGGAAATTATCTGTCATCGTCCATCGTCTCCTTTCCTCGCTCAATCAGGTAATTAGGTGAAAAGCTGCAAGAAGTGGAAGAGAAAGCCTAGAAGGCATACATCAGATAGAATGCCACAAGAATGAGGGAAATCGGTGAATCTGGGTAATGCTTAAGAAGAGGATGGGGCAGGAGAGAAGAGGAGGTGCCTTCCTACAAGATATAAAACCTTGCCTGGCCTTTTGATGGAAGAGACAGGAGAATAAAGCTGAGTGGACTGCATCTGGGAAGCAGGGTGGGGATCAGTGTTGGGATATCACAGGCCAAACAAAAACCCCCTCTGTGTGGCCCACCACCACCCATGCCAGCGAAACAATAGGTGGCCCATCTGTGAACATTTAGGAAAACTGAGGGATTCAGGGAGAAAAACTGAGGAAGAGGAAGGCACCATGTGGATGAGGATATGTATGATCTTTTCGAAGTTTTCATCTTTCTCCGAGGAATGGAGGAGAGAGTAGACGGAAATAAATCTCTTTTCTCTTAAGATCCCTATTTTTTCATTAAACAGAAAAGAAGGGCTGGTCCATCGTGGCCACGGCGGCGCCTGTAATCCTAGCAGGCTCTGAGAGCTGAGGCCAGGAGGTGGATCATGCGTTGACCTTTAAAATGATTGGTTGCCCACTATTGCCTTTTGAAATAATTGGCGGGTTGGTTGCCCTCTATTGCCTGATGGGCCAGTAGCCCGTGCTTTAATGACCTCATCCCATAATTCCCCCTACAGCGGTGTAGCAAGCAAGCAATGACCAGAAGCAAAGGTTTGCCGTTAGCTCATTGCCCCACCCAAGTGAATTCCCGACTAGTAGAATTCCTCTGCCCTTCCTCTGTCCTACAAATGCCTCTGCCCTACAACTTGAAATTCTGAAAGGGTTGAGGAGCGAAGTCAGGTGAAAAGGGAACACAGGAGGTCGGATTTTACTTTTCCACAGGCCAATTTCACTCGCAGCTCCCATAGCCCTGGGGCCTCGGGGGTCCCTCCACACACGTCTCTGAGGAGTGTGAGAGCTGACTAAGGACGTATGTTCACACAGTATTTCTGGAAAAACTCTTAATTTGACTTGGCTTTAGACTTGGAGCCTGGCTCTACCATGGAATTAAGGATGATACTGGATTTCAAGTTAGATACAAAGCACTTGTCAAGCAGCCTTTACACCTGGGGTCTGAGGGAAACAGAACGCGCTGCTATTGGAGTCCATGCTTCAGCTGAGGTGGGCGGGTGACAAGGGTGGGCTTGCTGCCAGGGGTGATGGTCCTGGTCAGTGGGGGCACTGCCTTTCACAGAAAGGGGCAAAAAACGAGTTCATCATTTTTACTTCCAGCAAAAGAATGAGAATATGTGAGCAGAGTGCTTGGGACAGGCACCCTTGTCTCCTTCAGACTTTTTGTGGACTTCAAGTCGTCTCTGATTGATGGATAATACACTTACCGGGTACCAGATTGCAAAGAGGAGCAGCACCTGGATGCAGGAGGCAGGAGACAACGTCCCTCTCCTCATTGTGAAGTAACCCACATGGGAGGTTGTTGTCTAGAACGCCTGTGGCAGAGTGATGATGCCAGGCGAGCATCCCAGTGGGACCTCAGGCTGCAGGAAGAATGAAAAGCTCGCCAAGACCAGGGTTCTGGGAGTGTGAGATACTAGGCTATAAGGACACCTTCCAGCTTCTGTTTACTGCTTGTCTGCTAACCGCAAGGCATTATGAGTACATTATGGGATGCAGAGGAGAAAGACAAAGAACGCGGAAACCGGGGTCTCGCAGCTAGGACCCGGAGCAGGTTAGGGCCTATCAGGGGCAGGATGAAGTAAGAATCACTGTGGGGGCAGATGCATGACCAGTGTGTAAACAACTGAGTTATAAAAGAGTCTCTAACACACAAAGGAGGGTCCCTGCCCGAAGAAGAGGCCACTGTGCTGGCACTCTGGGGGCTGGGACCCTAGCTCGAGCTAGACAATAAAACTCCTTTTGATAATTACAGCCTCGGTGACTCTGTCTCTGTCCTGCGGCCTTGTGAATCTCGAATGTGACAGGAGTAGGATCAGCTGGGGAGGGGCAGCGCAGTAGGAGCCAGACGCTAGGACGGCTGGATCCTGGGCTCCACACATTGCTCCCACAATATAGGTGGCTTGATTTCTTTTCCCACTTGCCCATAGCTGTGGCATTTATAGTTGCCACGGGCAGGGGAGGCCATAACTTCTGGGTCCTCCCTCTCCTGGGAGGGGCAGGAGCAGGGGGCAGACGACAGGGGATCAAACCTGTCTGAGGAGAGGAGACCCACCCTCCGGGCCAGAGGTCAACAGAAACCTGTTTCCTCTGGGATGTTTTATTTCTGGCTTTGTAGAAGGCAGAGGGGAGAAAAATGAAGGTGACTGGGTCCCAGATCTCGGATGGTCTTCTTACTCTGCCAGCACCGCCGCAGGGGCGCTGTGAGGGAGGACGCGGGAGGCTGCCGCGGAGACCCTGGCCTGGGACGCTGACTGTGAGGCCAGAAGACTCTGGAAGTTAAGGGCTGAAAGGGGAGAGCTGGACTCTGGAGGAAGGGCGGGACACGCTCTCACACAGCTCGCAGTCTGTCCTTGGGCGGCCGGCGGCCTCGGACCCGGAACCGGGCTCCACTGAGGAGCAGAGTCCGGTCGAGGCTTGGAGGAAGCAAACTCTCCCGTCGGGGCCCTGTGGGTTTGAGCAAGGCACTTCTCTGAGCCTCGGCCCCCTCATGCGTAACGCGGGCCTCTTCAGGAAAGAACTCGCGGACGCGGGAGCACTGACGCGCTGTCGCATGACGCGATGTCGCATGACGCGCTGTGGCATGACGCGCTGTCGCATGACGCGCTGTGGCATGACGCGCTGTCGCATGACGCGCTGTCGCATGACGCGCTGTCGCATGACGCGCTGTCGCCGGTGCTGCCCGGCGGCGCGGGCGGGCGGCGCGGACTCCGGGAAGACCCTGATCCCTGCTCCCGCCCCTCCCCACCGGGACGGCACCCCGTCTCGGGGGCTTCCCGGGCGGCACTTGGACTTGCACGTGAGGAGGGAGCCCAGGCCCTGTTAGGGGAGCGCCCCTAGATTTCAAAGTGGTGATTGGCGGGCAGAGCAGCGGGAGGGAGCGACTGCCCAATGACAGAGTATCTGCCACGCTGTGTCCTCATTATGAAACCCAGTAGGCTTCTTGTCTGCATGGCTCCCCCTTCACACAACATAAGTCATTACCCAGACAAGACTTTCTGTCAAACAAACAGTATTTAAAAGTTGTAAATTCAGGAAGCTGGTAATTCACCAGACTATGGATTACTGATTCACTAACACAATAACCAGATAGAGATGTAACCATGCGATTACACGTCTGAGAATGCTAATACAAAGACAAGCCTGCCCATACAAGGTCTCAACTTCTCTCAGCCTGGAAATAGTCGTGTTACATCTTTACTTTCCTTAAGACGTCCGAAGAACCTTTAACATGCATACATTAAACCATATGCGCTTTCTCAATAGAGAGATCATTCGCCATTTGGCTGCTATTCACGGAAAGCCTTATACCCCTCAGGGACTCATCGTACGTCCCTTAAATTAGCGTGTTTCCTCTGGATCGCCGGTACACACCCATGTCCCATGGCCGAAATAACAGCTATCTTCATTTCCAACCTTATCTCACCTGATATTTGACGATTAAACAACGTTAACGCAATACCTGGACATTGTATTATTCAATTTGCGCACAATTCTGTTCATCGAACTTCTTATCGTAGCCCACAGCTACGTGTGATCCACCTAGTAACTAATTCTCTGAGTCCTTGCTTACCATGCAGTATGAACACTCATTCTGACCTCAGAACCACCCAATACTATATATACACCTACATAACAGAATCCAGACTCGGACACAACATTAAAGGAGAACTGCTACTGGAGCGGGCATAACCCTTCTGAGTCATCGCGCTGTGTTATACATTCCGATCCATGTCACTTACCTCTAAAATCACTTGCTCCCCGGAGTCCAGGAAAATCAGAACTTGTGTGTCTGGTTCTCATTCAGGAAAGGGCAGAGCACCTTCTCCGGGATCATCGTGGGGAAGGGATCTGGCCCCTGCCAAGGGTCTGCTGCTCCATCATGTAGACTGGGTAGGAATTGGGGCCGCCCTCATCCTCTGGATCATTGTCCCAGGTGTTCTGGTCAGTCTACGGCGTGTTCGCATCACGTAAGAGACCTGTGATTGGGACGAGAGAGAAGGAATGAGAACCATCCCGCCATGCCTCCTGCACCTCAGGCCCTCACCCTGCCCTCCCCGCCCTTGGCCTTCGGGTGCCTTTCTCAGCATTCCATCCAAACCTTGGTCCTTATTCTAGCCCTAGATCCAACACACCGAGCCCCAAACTCCTCCAATTCCCCCATCTCCTCATCCTTATGTCCCCTATTCCCACCCCAAGAACTATCCCACCCCTAAATTTTCTGTCTTCGCACTCTTTTTTCTCAACTACAGATCCAACTTTTTATATCTGTTCCAACTTTTATACCATTTCTACTTTTACATCCCATGTATTTATTTTCTTCCCTTAGTTTTCATCACTATTCCCTTTCTTTTCATCCTCCCCAGCCCCTGTCATATCTCTTTTTCTAGAACATTATTCCCTCTAACTCTGACCCTAAATTCTCTTCAACTCCCTATCCCATAGAGTTGGGAGGTATTTCCCGGGCCACCTTGTCTCTTACCAAGAAGACCAGCCAAGGAACACCAGGAGGAGAATTACAGCCACCAAAAATCACAATAACTATGGCCATGCAGGGAATGGATCATTTTCGCCCATCTGTCCAGGATGGAGACTCCTTGGGAGCCATCTTTATTTCTGGTATTGAATGACTCTTATGGCCTGGGGCTTCTGACAGGATGGAACTCAGCTCCATTCTAGATGCAGTGATTGTGACAGAACCAATGGGCACCTGAGGGTAACCCCAGTTTTATGTAGATAAGGAGAAGTAGCAGCAACAAATTTGTCTCCTGTAACCTTGACTGGAGGTCTTATACTCTTTATGACTGCAGTATATTTGAGTTTTCCGTAGGTTTTGCTGGACTGGTGTGTTTTCCCATGGTGGATGTGGTCTTCTTTTGGGTGTACTGTAGGCATTTCTGAGGCTCTTCTGGCTTTCTCTGTGGTTAATGGGGTATTTTCTGGGTATTTTGTAGACTTTTCTGGTTACTTGTGTCATCTTCTCATGGGCCAAGTGTCTTTCTTCCTGTTCTGTGGGCTTTGTTGAGGGTTTATGGCCATCCCATTGGCTGAGTCAACTTTTCTGGATGTGTGTAGCTTTATGGGATGATTGGCCTTCTCATTGGCTGATGTGGTCTTTTCTCCATGTTGATAGGCTTTGCTGAGTATGGTGTGATCTTCTCATTGTCTGATGTAATCTCTTCCTCATGTTGTTGTGGACTTACTGGATGGTGTGTCTTCTCATTGGCTGAGGTGGTCTTTCAGTTGTGTAGGTTTCTGGAGATGGTGTGGTCTTCCATTGGCCGATGTGTTTTCTCCCATGTTTGTGAGCTTTACTGGGAATGGTGTAGTCTCTCATAGGCTGAGGTAGTCTTTTCCTCCATGTTGTGTGGGTTTTACTGGGGATGGTATGGTCTTCTCATTGCCTGGCTGATGTGGTCTTTTCTCCATGTTTGTAGGGCTTTGCTGATATGGTGTAGTCTTCTCATTGACTAATCTGGTCTTTTCTCCATGTTGTGTGGGCTTTGCTGAGTATGGTGTGGTCTTCTCTTCAACTGATGTAACCTTTTCCTCATGTTGTGTGGCCTTTACTGGGGACGGTGTAGTCTTCTCATTGGCTGATGTGGTCTTTTCTCCATGTTGTGTGGGTTTTACTGGGGATGGTGTGGTCTTCTCATTGGCTGATGTAACCTTTTCCTCATGTTGTGTGGGCTTTACTGGGGATGAGGTGGTCTTCTCATTGGCTGATGTAATCTTTTCCTCATGTTGTGTGGGCTTTACTGGGGATGAGGTGGTCTTCTCATTGGCTGATGTGGTCTTTTCTCCATGTTGTGTGGGCTTTACTGGGAATGAGGTGGTCTTCTCATTGGCTGATGTGGTCTTTTCTCCATGTTGTGTGGGCTTTACTGGGGATGAGGTGGTCTCCTCATTGGCTGATGTGGTCTTTTCTCCATGTTGTGTGGGCTTTACTGGGGATGAGGTGGTCTCCTCATTGGCTGATGTGGTCTTTTCTCCATGTTGTGTGGGCTTTACTGGGGATGAGGTGGTCTCCTCATTGGCTGATGTGGTCTTTTCTCCATGTTGTGTGGGCTTTACTGGGAATGAGGTGGACTTCTCATTGCCTGATAGTGTCTTCCCCTCATGTCGTGTGGGCTTTACTGGGGACGGTGTGGTCTTCTCATTGGCTGATGTAACTTTTTCCTCATGTTGTGTGGGCTTTACTGGGGATGAGGTTGTCTTCTCATTGTCTGATGTGGTCTTATCTCCATGTCGTATAGGCTTTGCTGAGTATGGTATGGTCTTTTCATTTGGCTG